GGAATGGACCTGTACCCCACTCCCCATGCCCCTAAGCAAGCCAGTTCCCCCCACTCTGGGCCAGATCAGAGCTGGTTCCCATGGGAGGGGAATGATCCCATATCCCATTCCCTGGACCCCAAGCCAGCCAGTCTACACAGCACCCAGTCTAAACACCTGTGGCTGGCCTGTGTCAGCTGACTCAGGCTCGCAGGGCTCTGGAACCTGAGCCTGGACGTCTACGCTGCTGTTTTACAGCCCTGCAGCCTGAGTCGGCTGACACACGAGTGTTTAATTGCTGTGTTGACATACGCTTAGTATCAATATTAAGTGTAGCAGGCACAGGCAGCTACAAAAGCCACATCAGTCAAGATCCTGCCCCCCACCCTGGCCCCTCCCTGCGCAGCGCGGCTCCTTAGTGCCTGGGAGCAGAGGGGACATAGGGCACTCTCGCATGCAGGAGTGGAGGTGCCAAGGAGGCCAGTTGTCCCAGGGCCTCCATCTCTGGTTCCACGAGGCCTCAGAGGGGGCCGTCCCCTGCCAGCTAGATGTGCAGCAGATGGTTATCTCCAGCAGCTGACCCCTAAGGCTCCCCTTGTGGCTGGAGCCCACAGATCAGCTGGGGTGCAGTGAGCTAGTGTGTGGGGGACCCTAGGGAGTGGCTAGCAGGGGCTATATGGAGGGAACATTAACCCAGGGCTGAGACTCCAGCCCTGCACAGGCTTCCACCAGTTCTGGCCTCAGGGGGATCATGGGATTAGCCGTCCCCTCCCTGAGTGGCTGGGTGGGTCCCTGGGCAGCGCTGGCTGCAGGGATCACCTGGTGCCACCCACCACGGACAAAGATGGGGGTTGCCACATCTGCTGGGCCCCATGGCCCAGCATCCTCTTGTTCACTCACTTGCAGGCCCAGTGGCCCAGGGAGGGGTGCGCAGGAAGTGGGCGAGGAGCAGACACTAGGGGGCACCCTGCCTGCCTACTTGCCTGGGTCTCTGGGCCTCACAATTATTTTCAGTGGGGGGCAGCGTGGGCTTGTTGGGGTGCACGGAGGCAGACATGGATTTCTGGTGCTGGCGCGGGCGCGCGGAGCCCACGGCGGCGGAAGCGGAAGCCGTGGAAGCCCTGGACCCTGGAGTGGTTAAACTAGGAAACAAAAGCAGGGGAGAAGCACAGATTTAAAGGGAGGGGAGGGGGAGGGGACATGAGGCTGTATCCAGAGCTACACCTGCTCTCAGGGTCTATAGGGCTCTCCCACCCACAGTCCTCCACAGTGCTGGGACCTGAGGGGTGGCTGGATTGTTCTCTTGCACAGCCATGGGGCCAAGTAGCATCAGCTGCATTTGGCCCACTAGCCACCAGCCCGAGCGCCAAGCTTAGCTGGCCCCAGGATCAGGGAACGACTCTCGCTCTGTGCTCCCTAAAAGGAAAGCCCCAGCCCATGAGCCAGCTGGCAGCTCCTGCCCTGGGGCCTGAGTGGAGCCAGTGCCCCCTAAAGGGGAAAGGCACCAGATCCCACTCCCCACCACCTTGAACCAGTCAGTCCCCTGCCCTGTGGCTGGACTGGAGCCGATGCCCTCTAGAAAAGAAAGGCCTCAATAGCTCAGTCCCTTAGCCCTGCTATGGCCTCCTTGCCACATTCCCTACAGAGATTTGGGGGTAGGGGCACCCCGATTTATAGCCTTACAACTTTTCAGGAAGACCTAAGCCCACTCAGGAAGAGAAATCCCCAGCCCCCCTGTGCTGCCCTAGAGATACAGTCCCATGTTGGCAGAGACAGATCAGGGAGCAAAATATACAATATACAGCCCAGTATATGTGTATATGGGGGGG